GATAGATGGATGACAGAATAATAGAACAATACGTGGATGGATAGAACAAAAGGTGAATGGATATATAAATGGATGGATGGATGGATGACAGAATAACAGAATGATAGGTGGACGAATGGATGGATAGAATGATGGATGGATGGATGGATGGATGACAGAATAATAGATGGATAGATGGATGGAGTGACAGAACATGGATGACTGGATAGATAGATGGAAGGATGGAAGGATAAAAGAATGGATGGATGCATGAATGGAATGACAGAAAATATTGTATATATGGTTGGATGGATGACAGAATGACAGATGGATGGATGGATGGATGGATGGGTGGGTGGGTGTTTGGATGGATGGATGGATGGATGACAATAATAGATGGATAGATGGATGGAGTGACAGAACATGGATGACTGGATAGATGGAAGGATGGAAGGATAAAAGAATGGATGGATGCATGAATGGAATGACAGAAAATATTGTATATATAGATGACAGATGGATGGATGGATGGATGGATAGATAGATAGATGAATGCATGAATGGCGTGACATATCAATATACTGGACACTCTGCAAAACATTTCCTTTTCCTATTTTCAGAAAGAAAGCCTGAACAATATCAAAGTAGATATAAATTCTGATCATTTTAATTCTAGATGACCTGCTGCTCACATTAGATACGGTTCAGCTGTGCAGGCTTTGCATTCATTTAGTTAATATCGGCAATACAGACGATTAAAATGCATCTCCAACTCTTGAATTACTTTGTGTAACTGTTATAATTTCATATGCAAAAGAGGTTATGAATGGTCACATGATCTGACGGTCGTCGTGTTTACCTTCATAGGGGGGTAGCGATGATACGGCGCAGAGCCTGTCGCCAGTTCAATGGCAGTGATTCCGAAACTCCAAATGTCAGCTTTGAAGTCGTAACCCCGCACCTGTGGTCACATGACATGCTACTGTAACTGTTCATCAGATGATGGAATAACAGACTATAACAGACCCACACCAGTCATAAACAGCGCTTCTTTCATGGCAGATTATTCCAATTATTAAACAATCTCTATGATCTGCACTAGAACAGTTGAATGGTTATTAATAATTCGTAGTATCAGAAGATCTCTTAGAAATTGTCTAGCTGTGAACACTTTCCTGGTGCCAAGATCCATTATATTTACAGTAAATGACAGAAACACGTTGGCAAAACCTGTTACAAAACCTAGTGAGTGTCTTTCTTCTTAGGCAGCAACTTTGCAATTGATTCAGTTAGCATATCGCTGATCTAAATCCATGATACTCGAAGCACAAAAATGAATAGCACACAGAAATACAGGTGCATCTCAATAAATTAGAATGTCGTGGAAAAGTTCATTTATTTCAGTAATTCAACTCAAATTGTGAAACTCGTGTATTAAATAAATTCAATGCACACAGACTGAAGTAGTTTAAGTCTTTGGTTCTTTTAATTGTGATGATTTTGGCTCACATTTAACAAAAACCCACCATTTCAATTCACTATCTCAACAAATTAGAATATGGTGACATGCCAATCAGCTAATCAACTCAAAACACCTGCAAAGGTTTCCTGAGCCTTCAAAATGGTCTCTCAGTTTGATTTGAGTTGAATTACTGAAATAAATGAACTTTTCCATGACATTCTAATTTATTGAGATGCACCTGTATTGAGTAAAATAGTCCATTCAAATTAAACTTGGGATGAGTATAATTTTGTTTTTATTTTTGCTAGAAACTGACACCTTGAATTCAGCAAAGACGGATTAAATTGATCAAAAGTGACACGACATTAACATTGTTATGAAAGGTTTATATTTTAAATAAATGCTGGCTTGAACGTTCTTTTCATCAAAGAATCCTAAAAATAACTGTTTTCAACATTATAATAATAAGAAATGTTTCCTGAGCAGCAAATCAGCATATTAGATGATTTCTGAAGGATCATGTGACACTGAAGACAGGAGTAATGATGCTTTGATCACAGGAATAAATTACTTTCAGAATATGTTCAAATTAAAAATAGTTATCTGAGATTACAGTAATATTTCACAATATTACTGTTTTAACTGTATTTTAATCAAATAAATGTAGCCTAGGTAAGCAAGCAGAAGAGACTTCTTTCAAAAATATGTAAAAACTGTAGTGTAGGTTGAACTATTTTGTACATGACGCTTTTCAATATTGAATGAATATTAAGTATAATCAACATTTCTCTCTTTGTCCACCTTTTTTGGTGGATTTATGAGTTTGTCTCAGGATCTTCTTCTTCTATGGATACATGCAATGCTGCTTTAGAATTAGGCCAAAATAGGGTTTCTTAGTGTTTACTAACCTTCTATAACAACCTTCACGTTAAGTGTGCATCTATCAATGATTTAAAATGCAGTCTATGTAGACCACTCACTTGGTATTTGAAACAGATCCACTTGTAAATGTTTAATATGTAGGTTCTCTGAGCACACTGACCTGCTCCATCACCTCTGGAGCCATCCAGCACGGGGTCCCCACGAACGTTTTCCTCACTTTGTGTCTAGTGACATCTCCACCAGTGGCCAGAAAAGCACTCACACCAAAATCTAAAGAGAACAATTAACAACCTCATCATACGTCTGATGCACAAACATCTACTGCAAAATCGGTTGACAGTTGGAAAGCAAATATTTAAATGCATATTTAATTTGACATGCATGAAAATGAAAGATAGACACATAGTCTGATAAATTGCTTCTACTGTCACATACCGTTGTGTCTATAAAAGTCAGTGAAAATATTTCTTTCCAAAAATGACAATTAGACGTGAACTATGATATTTGTACAGAGCAACCTTTTGAACAGACTGTATGTCTTTCTTTCACAGCTTTGTTTGCATTTGTGTCAAACATCTACTGTGCTTTCAATAATCAGAAAAGCTCTCTATGTGAACAAATTCTCACAAAATATTATATCAAAAACAAAGTCTTTTTTAACCCCAAAATCCCTTTTATATATATAATACATATATATTATAATATTATAATATTATACATTATTTACAATAGCATGTAGCATGTCCATGAGAACCTAATAAGAATCATAATTGAAAATAGTGACAATTTAAAAAAAAAAAGTTAAAAATCAATTTTTTTTTAAAACGAGAATTTAAGAAAATGTGTTTATTAAATTAAATTTCATAATATTATTTCACAATGCACACAACCTTAAGTGTCCTAAAAATAGGCCTTATTTTTGTTATGCTAAATCTTATTTTATATATTTTTTAGGGGTTGAAATTTGACCTGGACACATTCTTTTTATACGATTAAAAAAAAAAAAAAACTTGTCTGTCAAACATTTCAATCGAAAACTCTCTGATGTGAAGTACAATCTGAACAAAGCCGAGCCAAGGTCACTAGTGGAAACCCGTTACATAAAACCGATCAATATTCTAGAACTAGATCAGCCAGTTTCCCCCCAGGGACGGAAAAAGCCTCATTTCAGGAATTTAACACTTCTCCACACTACGATCAATGTGTCTCAGGCCTGTTTTTCTGCTCTCCTTTATGTGGCTCTAACACACAAATTCATAAAACAAAATGAAACAGAGAACAAAAGTGGAGAATATATTATCTGTTAATAATCAAACCATAATTAACCTCAATGAAAGAAATAAAAAAAATTAAAAAACTTAAAGTGGCTTTACTTACTGATTAAATCACAGCCAGGTTATTGCTTTTATAGTTAGCATAATTAAAGCTAATTACCATGGTTTAAAAAGCAATATAATCTCTCTAAAGGCCCATAAATGTTGCTTTTTAGATTGACAACCAGTATTAATTAAAGCAGGATTTTTACAGCTAAAGAAAGCTTAATTACCTCATGGCTATAAATAACTTCTTAAAGAGCTGAAATAATTATGCAACTGAATTAAGAGTGCATTGGTCAAAATCAGTTAAGAGCAACAAAGAATTTTAAAATATATTCTGAGTCATACATCTTTTATATATCTTTTTTATGTTTTCCCTAAACTAATTACATTTTTCGTGACCATTTTACCTGCTATCTTACTCCTACAATTAAACAGGCAGTTTTTTTGGTTGCAGTTTCTTTAAAGGAACACTCCACTATTTTTGAAAACAGTCTCATTTTCAGCTGAGTTTTACCGTTTTCTAAACGGTGCTTGATCTGTGCATATTTCTCTCCTGATTCAAACGAGACAACTTTTTCATTGGAGAAAGCAATATTATGAATAGAGAACTCCTATTTTTACCAGAAAATAACAGTTTGAAGTTAATCCTAATAATGGATTTGTTTTTTACAAACACACAACTTTCCGCTTCACGAGACATTAACTTATGGACTGGACTGGTGTGGATTACTTGTGGATTATTGTGATGTTTTTATCAGCTGTTTGGACTCTCATTCTGACGGCACCCATTCACTGCAGAGGATCCATTGGTGAGCAAGTGATGTAATGCTACATTTCTCCAAATCTTTTCAGATGAAGAAACAAAATCCTCTAGATCTTGGATGGCCTGAAGATGAGTAAATTGTCAGCTAATTTTTCTTTTTGGGCGAACTATTCCTTTAAACAGAGAGAGACAGTCTGAAAGGCATGCGAATTGACCAGCCACAGTTCAATTTGTTATTGTCATTTTTACTTTACCTGTGAATCTGTCCATTTTTGTGTAGATAATCTAATCCCTCCAGGACTTCCTTCAATATGGTTGCTATTGTAGATTCATCTAGTACACCGTTTTTATACTCTCCTTTGCTGAATGAGTGCTTTATGATGTCTAACACTGATCCTGGATGAATAAAACGGTTTGTAATCACACAAAATTCTTCAAATTTACAAAATAATACATGCATATAACACATACAGTGACTGCAAATAGTATTCGGACATACAAACTATATGAATTACTATATGAAATGCCAAATCAAGCGATATTTATTTTAAAGAAATTAAGCACACGCACACTTCTCAGGCAAAACATTTTAGAAAATAAGCTTATTTTAAGTGATGAAACAACACATAATGTTGAAAATAAACATGTCCACAGTTAATTGAAATGATTTTTCTCACCTCCACTCAGGAGCTTCATGACCAGCCAAAGTTCATCTTTCACAACAAATGAAGTGTAGTAGGTGACCACGTTGGGATGGTAACACTGGCTCATGGCTTGAATCTCTTTCTGTGGAGACAGATGGAGGTGTCTAGCTTTATAATGCATGTCTGTAATAATGTCCATGTGCTTTATAATGCATGCACATCAAAGTAATCGCAATGGTAAGAACAGAGAAACTCTTGAACCGATTTATAATAAACAGTAATCTCTAGAATGAGATTAGAATAGAATGAGTCTGTTAAGTACAAGGCCAGGCCATATTTCACAACAAAATCAAAAGAAAGGAGGAAGAAATTTAAGCCCATGTTTATGACTATTATTTGTTTATTTATTTTTTTATTTTTGACAAAACAATTACTCACATTTTCTTCCATATTTCATTACCATATTGGAAAAACTAAATTCTTTAAAATGGCATATTATTTCTATTTTTTAAGTATTTATACATGAAGGTAAAAATTACTGTATGACCTTTAATTAATACGAATTAAAAATTTAATGTAATAAAAGTTTGATTGATTTACATGAATCAGTTCAATCGTGGAATGAAATCACTGTCCATTTCAATTATTTCATTCAATTTGATTCAACAATTCATTCGAGCCATCATTCAAAAGTAATTTTTCTGTGTAAATGATTTAAATGTTTTAGCAAAAATAAGCAAGTACATTTTTCTGTTATGTTCCTACATTTTGTTATATTGGTGTAATTACATGAAAATGATTAGTAAAAAACATTAGATCTTTAGTGTATTTTTAAACTTACATTAAACATTTTGAATCTTTGGTTGAAATGACACACTGTAAAAAATTACCGTGAATTTAACGGTAAAAAACTGTAAAAATGCTACAGTAAAAACCTGTTAAATGGTTAACGGTAAATTCCCCTACTATATACAGTGAAAAAACTGTATTGGACATTACATGTATTGGACATTAATTTTACGGTAGTAAAATTTTTGGAAGTAAAAAATTGTATTGGACATTACATGTATTGGACATTAATTTTACGGTAGTAACATTTTTGGAAGTAAAAAATACCGTATAATTTACTGTGAATAACTGTAAATTGACATTCCCAGAATTCCCTGCGTTACATTTCAAATTTGATGTTTTTTTTTGTTGAAATAACTATATTTCTTAGTTTTTTCTTATCAGTTTTGTATATTAGGGTTGTGTGTTACACTTAATGTTGTTAAATGAATGTTTATTGCATTATTTCAGTTTCATGTGTGTTACCATGATGGTGTTTGGTGTTTGTGTGAATGACACTGTGCACATTCTATATATGTTATTATTTAAAAGCTGCTTGTGATGGGCTTTGGTTCATCGTGTGACTTTCTCATCACCACCTGCATTTGGTGGTTATCAGTGTATTACAAAGGTACAAAACAGATTTCAGTACTTCAATAGGTTGTTATATTAACATTATATCAGTTAATGAAATTATGGTATTTAACTGTAAATTTAAGTTAAAACCGTAAAACCTAAAATGTTGCTACCGTATTTTTACGGTAAAATTCCGGCAACCACAGCTGCCGTTTTTTTACCGTAAATTTTAAGGAATTTTTTTTACAGTGCAGTTCATTTGATTGAAAATAATAAAAAAGAACAAACATAATTATTATAAATATGGCAATATACAGCAATTTTTATACTTAGAAGGAATACTAATGAGGAAACAAATTCTTATCCTTGAAATCTGCATCGGCAATCAAAGCTTCAATAGTGATGCTGTTTTTCAGTTTATTTCAGAGCAGAATTCATGCATATGAACATGTGCAGTAAAACCTGTTTAGCTGAAGTAGGTCTACATACAACTGATGAAGTCATTTCACATATTCCAATAATATAAGGTTTTAATAAAATTGAAAAAATGAGAAAATTTCTTTTTTTTAAAGGGGTCATATGTAATGATCTTTAAAAAAGCATCATATGACCCCTTTAAAGAAAATTGAAAAAGTACATTACATATGTGCTGTCTGGGTTCAGCATAATTTTACACAAACCATATCTCCGTGTCATATTTCTGTGAGAGTAAATCTGGGAGATGTTTATAGCACAACTTTATAACTTGTTTTCGTGACAGAACAGTCATTAATCAAACCATCAGTTTCTAATCTCTCTGCACCAAAACAAAGATCAAT